CTGTCCATAGAAGTGATCAAGAGCCCTTCTGAGTACAAAAGCCAGGTCAGAGATTAAACAGAGGAAGAGACAACTTCTGTCAGGGGATTGAGGGAGGCCACCTTGAAGGAGGTGGCATTTGACTCAGGTGCTGAGCAGCTCATTCACACTTCAGCTCAACTGAATTCAAATTCACATGTTCTGTATATGAGCAGGCATTGGGTTAGGGTAGGAGGTTAGTGTAGCAGAGAGGGGGCCAGATGGCATCTGGATTTTGAATCCTGGATCCTCAACTACTGACTGTAATCTACATAGATTCTATGATCTTCACCTTCCTCTTGTATACATTGGAGTTAATAATAGTATAGTTCTCTGAAGTTGCTGGATGAATTAATTAAATGCAAATCTGCATAGAAAGTAATTAGGGACCCACAGTGCAGTATGAATAGGTAGGTAGTGGCTGGGTATCTAAAAGGCCTGGATCTGCGCTCTGGCTCTGCCACTTAGTAGCCGTGTGAACTTGGGTAAGTGATGTAGCTTTCCTGTGCCTCACTTTACTCATCTGTACGCTGGGGATTATGTATTGTGAGGATTAAATGACATAATGTGTAGTAAAAACTTAACATAGCACCTGGGACATAGACAAGAGTAATATTTGGTATGAGGAGTGTAAAACATTAGGAACACAATCCCTGAACCAGACTGCTGGGTGCAGACCCATGTCTGCCCTCAGGGCCAGGTGTCCTTGGTGAAATCCCTTAACCGTCCTTTGCCTCAGTTTCCCCAACTGTAAAATAGACATGATAATAGCCCACTGTGTAGGATGGTTGTGAGGATAAAAACGGTTAAAGTACGTAATACAATTAGTACCCATAAATGCTGGCTCATTACCGCTGCACCGGATTCAGCTGTTTTCCATTCCTTTGCTTTTTCCCTAGTGCCTTCCACCCACGGAAGGTTCTGTCCCCAGTGTGCCTCATAGGGCACACGGCTAGGATATCCTGGGGACATGAACTGAACCGAGGCTTGCCTGGCGTCAAAGTCTCAGCCCCTTAACTTCTCACAGTCCAATCCATCCTCTGGTGGGAAAGCCGAGGAGGAGTGACTCCTGCAGCCTGCTTGGAGGAGGAGGCCGTTCAGCCAGGAGTCATTGCTTATACTCTGCTCTTCCTGCACTTGGATCAGGAGGAGGCCTTGGAGGCACCTGCTTCTGCCAGAGGCAGGGGCTGCCGGCCCTTCCCGAGGTGCTGGGAAGGGAAGCTGGGCTCTTCCATGGCTGTCGCCCAGCAGGTCCTGGCTGTGACAGGTGTGTATGTAGCTCAGAGCCCAGACTGATGGCAGTGAGGACGGGAGGCTGCAGTCATCACTCAGTGGCCTGATAATTGGATATTTCTATAATGACAAATTACAGCTGTTTCTCTTGTCATCGGTGTAAAACATTTCCAAAGCAGTGATTTCCCAGGAGGGGCTGTGGTTGTTATCCAGTTAAGACTATGGAAACGCCTGGCGTAGGGGACGTGGAGCGTGGCTGAGTGGAGCTGTGTTTCCGCACCGCCAGCCTCTGGGTGTTTGGCTCTGGCGATGTGTGCAGAGAGATCAGTCTTCTGTCATAATATTATCACTGTTAATTCCACGCAAGTGTCATGTTGAGATGGGCTTGGAGGCTTGCAATTTGTTATCTGGCTCCAACCTGTACTGGTTTTTAATTTCACCAAAGGATATTGTAAAACATGAACATTAATGAAAAGTTCAGTCTTTCTTAGCTTGAAAATGTTTATAGCATTCAAAGTGAGAATAATCTTGGAAATTTGTTCTCGGGCCACTGGCCTATTACCTGAGCCATGAGGTTCAGATAGGGTTAGAAGCCTCCAAAATGTCTGTTTTGGCCTCCAGAAAGTCAAATCTCTGCTGTTTCCCCAAACCTAATTCTCTGACAGAAGTTCTGCAAGATAGGCTGAAACCGTCCTTGTCCTGGGGCTTCTAGGTGCTCCACAAATGGAAGATAAGCCCGTGGGGAGAAAGAGTATTGTGTCATTTAACTTTTCTGGGTCTTTAACTTTTTTTCCTCATGTGTAAAGTAGAGTTATCATGAGGATTTATGAATTAATGCATGCATAGCAGCTAGAACAGTGCTTGGCATACGGTATAGGCTACGTGTAAGTGTTAGCTACAAAGAGAGCTCTCAGACTTGGGGCTCTTTCTGGCCTGAGAAACATCATGGAGATAAAATTGCAAACCTCCCCAAAGGGCCAAACCATCCTCATCTTTTATTTTTTCCAGGGAAGATCTTTCTTCATTCTCTGTCCTGGCAGCCTCTGCCTTTCTTCTTTTATTCTTCCTTCCTTTTTCCCTCTCTCCCTTCCCTCCTTCCTTCCCTCCTTTCTTCTTCTCCTCTCCTTCTCCTTATTTTATTTTTTTGTTAACCCTCTATAGCACCTACCAGGTGCCAGGCACTTCTCTAAGGCCTTTACATATATTAGTTCATTAATCTTAACAATCGCTCCATGAGGTACAATGATTAGCCCCATTTTACAGATGAGGAAACTGAGGCACAAAAGTTAAGAGACTAGTCTGAGCTTACACAGCTAGTAAATGGCGAAGTCAGGATTTGGGCCCAGGAAGTGTGGCTCCCAGTCTCTGCTTTTAGCCACTGTGATGTTTCTTGTTTGCATGCAGTGCAGGGTCCCAGTCAGAGTCTTTCTCAGAACCCAAGGGCCCATGTAGAACTTCTTGGTCACTGATACCAGCCTGGACTGAACCTGAATACTCAGTGACCCCAGACTGAACACCGAGCTCCAGATTCCCGTTTTCCCATTCAGGGGTCTGTGCTCTAGTCAGGCTATGGCCCCAGCCATAGCCATGTACTTCCTTAGCTTCCTCCATCACCATCCTTAGTCCTTCCCATTGCTGAGACCCAGCACAACCTGCAGCTGGATGCCCCCTCAGGACACCCTTGGGACACCTTGTGGCCCCCCCAAACACCAGGACACTTGCCAGAGGCCACATAACCAATAACTAGTTAAGTTCGGATTCAAAACGACGTCCATCCACCATTCTCCATAGATCCCCGGCCCCAGTGGTCTACACTCAATCGTCAGAACTCCATGATCAAGCAGAGCAGCTGCCTATTCTTCCTGGGCAATGCAAAGTAAGACCAGGACCCCCAGGCTGTGCTCCAGCCTCGCCTCCATCCTTGGGGCACCCCCCTTCTCCTGGCATGAAATGGAAGAGAAGCAGAGTGCACGCTGGCTGTCCAGGTAAGCCCAGCTGTCTGAGCTGCAGCTCATTAGACTTGGGCTAATTTGTTATTAATTCCTGAGGAGCACAGAACAATCCAACAAGAGGCAAAAATCAATGGTCAAGGAAAAGATAAAGCAACCTTCTGAGCAGAATGTGAGTGAGGAGAGTGGTTTTAAAAAGGCCTCGACAAACTATTTGAGGCACAGCCTGTAAAGTAGAGAATAAATGACTTTTTTTTTACATTGGTTCATATTTTTTGTTCCAAGCTGGAAAGAGGAGAGAGGTAATGGGCTGGGGTGAGGGGCCTAGCTGGCCTCACAATGCTGAGATAATTATTGCTCAGTTCAAGCCCAAGCGATTTTTTACTTTTCAGAGGCGCAGAGAGCAACTGGGGGCTGAAATGGGTTTCAAAGTGATGGAGTGAACAATAAAGTTCAATTAGCAGTAATGGCATTGGCTGGGAAAAGCATCAACCCAGAACACAGTCAGTGCCTTCCTCCTTTCTCCTTTGTGCCCAGCAAGGAGGAGATAGGCTGAGCCAGAGGAAGAGTGGGAGCCCTGCTGAGGGGTGGGATGGGGTAGGAGAGGCCCTGGGCACATGGCCTCTCTGTGGGAGGGCCACACTGCAAGCCTGACTCCCGACTGCCAAGTTCAATGCCAAGACACATGGAGCCATTCCTGAGATAGTGCCACAGCCCGCCTCTGACAGAACAGGCTGGGCTGGAATTGCTGTCCTGAAGTTCCTGCCAGGGGCCCAAGTAAATTAAAAAGGGCTGCCTGGGAGCGTGGGGGCCTCAGAGCAAGTTTATAGAGAATTTATAGCAGCCTACCAGGCCTTCCTGACCTGCCTAGCCACCTCCTTCACCTCTTTGGCCTAATTTCTGTTGTTATTCCCTTCCTCACTCTGATGCAAGCATGCTGGCCTTCTCGCTGTTTCTCTAACATGATGGGCACCCTCTGTTTAGAGCCTTTGCTGTATTTCCTTTGTCCCAATTGTTCCTCACCCAGATCTCTCTATGGCTTGAAATCTTACCTCCCTAAAGTCTTTACCACTCAAAAACACCTCCTTACTGCAACCTGTTCTAATCTCCCTATTTAAAATGAAAACTAACCCCAGTCTACTTTTTCTTTTCTTTCAAAGCACCTAGCACTTTCTAAAAATACATATAACTTATTTGCTTATCATGTATTTGTGCCCATTGCCCGGCTTCCCTCCACTACAACGTTAGCTCCATTAGGGCAGGGGTTATCTCTTTTTCTCAGTGACATATTCTGACCTTCCAGGAAAGTGACTGACACAAAAAAGGCACTTGATAAATGTTGGCTGAATGAATGAGGTGGACTCAACTTCAGAGGCCAAACATTTCAACCTGCTTCTTCACAGGTGGAAGACTGAGATCCAGGGTGAGGGTGTGGCTCACTCAAGGCCAGTCAGCAAATGAGCAGCAGAGCTGGGATGAGATGCATGTCTTTGAATCCCCAGCCAGTGTTCTTTGTTCTTTCTCTGATTTGGTGGAGGGCAGAGATAACCCCTTCCAGTGTCTACTGGGGGCCAAGCACACGGCGTATCTGGGCCTCATTCGATCTTTACCTGCATCCCAGCCCAGTGACCTGCCAGGCTACTTTCTTCTCCTCACTGTCCTCTTAGCCTTTCTTATTACTGCCTCTGGGACATTCTGCCTGACGTTCCAGACTAACCCTCCCCCCTTGCTTCTCCTAAAGCTCTCAGCACATCCCCATCCTTATACTCAGGAAACATACTGAAATCACCTGGCTTGTCTTCTCTGCTTGGATGGGTGCTGCTGCTTGAGGACAGATTGCATTGGGTTCGCTGCTGTTTCCCCAGGGTCTGGAATCATGGAAGGCATTAAAAAATATTTGATGCATGAACAATGAAGTTATTTTAGTTATCTGTGCCTCACTTACTTCACCAATAAAGGAGGGCCAGTAGCATTTACTTTGCGGGGCTGTTGACAGGACTCTATGTGGCATGTAATAGGTATTCAGTTACCAGTCTTGCATCAGTCCTGTGTGGTGGGTTGTTCTGTTCTTTTAGGTGATGATTGGTCAGGTATGGCTACAAGTGGGACACAGGAGAGGCACGAGAAAACAAAATTCACTACACGCACAGATCCTTGATAGGGGGTCACTGTGTGCCACATGGTCACAGGGCGAGTGCCAGCTTTGGGTCAGGTGGGGAAGATGGGGATGAGGAGAAAGCATTAGGCCAGAGCCTTTATTGGGGTTTCCATGGCAGAGACAAGTTGGGCAGAGAAAACAGTTTAGGACTGGTTAGTTTGAATCTTTCGGGCAGGCTCTAAGCTATAGGGTGGTCCCTAGCTGCCTGGCCCCTGGCCCTTGGATAGTTAAAGCAGAGGAATATTGCCTCCTGGGGTGTAAGGGCAGGCAAGATAGAGGAGCTGAGGCTGTCGAGATTGCTTAGTTTGCACGTCAAAGCTGTGCTCCCAGCTGAGGTCTTTGTTATCTCTAAGAATCAGATTGTCCTGAGGGGCAGTGTCTCCCTGGTCAGAAAAGTTTATGATGTCAGAACATCATACTATATAGAAAACAGGAACAACAACAACAAATGCACACTGTACAGATATTACTGTCCCTGTTTTACAGTGGGGAGCTAGGGTCTTTTCAAGGTCAAGTGACTTGTTTAAGGCCATATTCTTGGTAAGTGTCCATGTGATGCCCAAACTTGAGCTCCTCCTACGATGCCTCACCCCTGACAGGCAAGGGTGGCTTATCTGCTCCTCTGGCTTTAACACTATACAGCAGCAATTTTCTGGTTAGTTTGGGATCAAATGCCTGCCACTGAGAAACCTAAAGAAAGTGTGTAGGCCTTGGCTTACACATGTAGTGAGCTCGGTTGCTTCCACCAGCCCCGCCCCATCCTGGAAGCTTCTCTGCCTCTCCTGCAGGCCTGGTCACCGCTTGGTCGCCACTTAGAGAATTCCCCCCAGAGCTCTTGCCTGCCCTCAGAATTCCTGGGAGAGCCTCCTATTTAATTCTGCATGTGCTTAAGTCCTGGGAGCCTGGCTGGCCTCCTGTGTCTATCCTCCTCGAAGCCTTTGGTGGAGAAATCAGGAGGGAGTCAGCCTGTGTTTGCTCCCATCGTCCATTAAAATGGTGAAGTACATTGATTAACTTTGTTGTTTTTTTTCTAAATTGTGGCAAAATATACATAACATAAAACTTGCCATTTTAATCATTTTTCAGTGTGCCATTCAGAGGGTCTGATGCACATTCACCATATTGGGTAACCATCATCACTATCTATTTCCAGAACTGTCTCATCATGCCAAATAGAGACTCTGCCCATTAAGCAGCAACTCCCTGTATCTCCCTACCCTCAGCTCAGCCCCTGTTAACCACTGTTCTCCCTCCTGTGTCTATAGATTTGCCCCATTTACGTACTTCATATAAGTGGAGCTATGGGATCTTTGTCCTTTTGTGACTGGCTTCTTTGACTTAGCATGGATCAGAATTTCATTTCTTTTTAGGGCTGAATAATATTCCATTGTATGGATATACCATATTCTGCTTTTCCATTCATCTGTGATGGACACTTGTGCTGTTTCCACTTCTTGGTTATTGTGAATAATGCTGCTGTAAACATTGGTGCACAAGTATCTGGATCCTTGCTTTCAGTTCTTTTGGGTATATGCCTAGAATACCCAGTCTGAATAGATAATTCTCCAAGGAAGACATACACATGGCCAGTAAGTACATGAAAAGATGCTCGACACCATTAGCCACTAGAGAAATGCAAATCGGAACCTCAGAGCAACATTACTTACACACCCATTCGGATGGCTATTATCCATAAAACAATAAATAACAAGTATGGGGAGGATGTGGAGAAGCTGGAGCCCTTATGTATCGCTGGTGGGAATATAACCTCCTCGTCTCTTGGGTGCAGCGTTGGGAATAAGAACGAGGGTTCTGCTGTCTGTCTTCACCCTGCCTGGTGCCGCTGGGCCTGTGCAGACACTGGCCAAGGGGATGGCATTCGGGTTGATGTCTTCAGGGCTGGAGATGGAAGAGGCTACTGGGTGCCTTGGGCCTTCAGGTGAGCTAAGTCACGGTTCATAGGGGAAGAGTGAGGCTCTGGTGCCATCATCCTTGCACAGAGGCAATATCTCTAGGGCTGGAATGGGGCTGGGGGTGAGGGTGGTGATAGGGGATGAGGTCAGAGAGGAGGCAGGTTTGTGAGAAGTAAGGTTGGTTATAGCATACAACCATTATGGGCTGGCAGAGAACTGGTGGGTAGTCTACTTGGGTGGGAGAGGGCCAGGTGTCTGCTATCCTGTAGCCAGGCTTCGTGCCCTCTGCACTCATGCCTCTGTATTTCCGGGAAACTGGGCCAATCCAATGGCTCTGTCCTCACATCTTCACCCCCCATTCCACATCGGGGTGCTGATGCTTAGTAGTGGGCAGGCTTGTGTGTGCACATGTGTGCAGACCTGAGACAGGAAACGGGGTCATTGGTGTTCCATTTTCACCAGAAAGAAAGTTGGTGTTGTTTCCCGGCCCAGTCTCTGAGTTCTGCTTCTTCATGGCTCAGTGAAAGGGCACTGGACTAGGAGTCAAGACAGATGAGATCTCATCTTGGGTGTACCCTTTGCTAAGTGAAAAGGGGATTTAAAGGATAAGGAGAGGCTCATACTTGAGCAGGAAGAGGCTCTCCCTCTTTCCTCTGTCAGGGGAAGGAACAGGGATCTGCTTCTTAGGTTTGTTTCTGCTGAGCATCACGGTAGCTACTGCACACATCATAATTTAGTCAGTACCTTAAGGGTATCAGCAAGCACCCTTTGTTTAGGAATTTGTAAAGACAACAAACAGATGAGCTAAGAAGCAAGCCCATTGTATTTCGTTTCCTCCAACAGTTAACCTAATCACAGCTGTACCTACATCAGCCACATACGATATGATACAAGGCTCTGCTTCAGGGAGGGCTGTGTGCTGTCAACCTTGACTCCCCTGGGTGACATTGACCTCTTTAGACACAAGCGATTTAAGCACCATCCAGTTCCCCTGTCCCCTGCCTTGTCATGATTATGCATATTCTGCTAACCCATTTCTGCTTCCTGTGCCGGCTCATGATGTGCTCAGCTCCACGCTGATGGTTTCCTTGTTCAGAGCAGACGCATCCCCAACCCAAAGCTCTCAGGTATGGCTGCTTTGTGGGGAGGCATCAAAGTTTAGCCTTCAGATTCCTGAGGTTTCATTACTAGGTTTCTGGGTTTCTAGGTATTTCTAATCCTATGTGCTACTGCAGATATTGATGTAATAGGGAAAGAGTGGAGGTTTGTTATTCTTTGGTGGGAAGGGATAATCAAATTCAGTATCAGCTCCGTGCTCACTTGGGCCCCAAAGCCAAGTACAGCAGAACAGGTGCCAGCACAGGCTGTGGCGTCAACACAGACCCCACTTCATCTTACTGTTTTGCCAGGATGATCCCCATTGCTCCGAGGGCCTGGGTGGACCATGTCAACTGGCTAGGGCTGGACAGGTGGATACTCTGAGACTAAGAGTGGGTGTTGGGTCCTCTGACATTAATTTAGCTTGGCCATTTTATTATTTTATTTCATATGGTGTTATTTTCTTTTATGTCATTCCATTTTATTTTACAGGCTGTGTTGTTTTTGCAAACGACCTCCCACCTGGCTCTCTGCAGTTATTCTTGAACAGCTGTAGTCCCGGGGAAGTCCCCTCTCCAGAGGCATCTGGCAGAAAGGGGAGCATATGTCAGGGGGCTGGGGAAGCTGGCAGAAACCTCTTTTGTTCAATATTTTATTAGAGTCCATGTAGCAATGTATATAAAGTAAGTCCCATGGTGGGAAAATTTGGAATAAATTACTGCCTGCAATTTCCTGTTTGGCATTGATTTTACAGATTGGAGACTCGAAATGGGAATGGCCTGGTATTATTATGCCAACATCAGTATTGAAGGTCCCACAAATCCCTTGCAAATCCTACACTGTCAGAGCCACATGGGGCCTAAGAGACCAGTCAGTCGAACCCCACATAATATGGATGAAGCTCAAAGAGCCAGGAAGGCCGGAGGCCACATGGGGAAGAAGGACATAATCTGAACGATGATATTAGTTCAGCTTTCAAGTCCTGAGGCACAGATTTTAATAGGTGTGAAAGATTGTTTTAAGGCAGCCAAAGTCTGTTATTACTTACTGGGAGTCCCCATCAGAGCGGTTGGCCTGCATTTTCTCTCCATGTTGTTCCTTAATGCGTGTTTCCGGCCCTGTTTTGAGACACTTTGGATTCTTTGATTCCTCTGACAGGCATAGGTAGCTTTAACAGAGAGCTGTTCTGGGAGGAAAAAGCGCCCAGGGCCTGGACAAGCCCATTCCCCAGTGGGACACTCACTTTTGTCCTCTGTGATATGGGGTTGGCAATCCCTGACCTGCCTTTGTCACAGGTAACAGATAGATGTCACAGGTAAATGGAAAGGCCTCCTTTGTCACAACAAAGCCAGGACCTGGGCAGGTTTAGTCCCATCTAACACGGCCAGCTCACCTCTTGAAACTGTCTCCCGAAGTCTTACCATCCCCAGGCACCTCACCTCCGGCTCCTCAATGCCAGACCGTCAGCAGGAGAGGGAAGCTGCCTCTGTTATGCTTGCCAAGGGAATCTCATGCTGCCTGAGTGTCTGTGTGTTCTCCTGTGTCTGCCCCCTTCCTTTCTACTCCACTGCCAGTGATTGTATTAGGTTCCCTTTTCCATACCCTATAGAGTTGTGTTTGTTTTCTACTGGTATGTAACAAGTTGCCTGAAAATGGAGGCAGAAATTCTGGAGCGGTGTGGCTGGATGGTTCTGGCTCACGGCCTCTCACGAGGTCGTGGTCAGATGCAGCCAGGGCTGTATCCATCTGAAGGCCTCAGTGGACCTGGAAGGTCTCCTCCCAAGGCGGTCCATTCACATGGCGGGCAAGTCGGTGCTGCCGATTGGCAGGGTGTCTGTGCCCCTCCACAGGGCAGCATGAGTGTTCTCACATCATGGCAGCTGGCTTCCCTCAGAGCAAAAGGTCTGAGTCCAAGGGAGAAGTTGAGAGGCTTTAAGGCCTACCTGATTTTCTGGTCACTCTGGACCAACCCCGAGGCTGTGTAAGAAGGGACCACATGGGGGCACGAATACCCATGGGGTCATCGGAGTTTGGCTACTTCAGTCTACCTGCTGGCTCCTGATGATTCCTATATTTCCCACATGAAAATACACTCACCTCTTTCCAAGGTCCCCACGTCTCATTAAGCTGCAGCATCAATTTGAAGTCCTAGGCCTTGTCATCTAATCAGGTCCAGGTTCAGATGAGGCTCCCCGGACGAATTTCTCAAATACAGCTCTTCCTGTAGAGTTCCTCTTGATCTGTGGGCTTGTGAAATAAAGGAACACGTTACCTTCCCTCTACATAATATGCAACAGTAGGACAGGCATAGGATAACTATTGTAGGTCCTCTTATAAAAAAAAAAAAATGAGAGGGGAAAATGGGAGATACACTGGGATCCTTAGCAAGTCAGAAATTCTGCTGGGTGCATGGGTCTTTTCTGGATTAGAACTCAGCACGACTGCTTGGGGATGGTTCTCGATGGCTCCTGGCTCTACCCTCTGGGCTCAGAGGCAGCAGCCCTCCAAGCCAGGCTCTCTTTTCCATAAGAAATGGTAGTTGTTTGCAGCTAAGTCTTTTCCTCAGTCTGCTTTCTTACAGGAGGTTGGAGGGCCAAAGACCTATTATCATTTTGCACTGCCGCTCTACCTTTTAGTCTAAACAGGCAGTGTTTCAGACAATGTAGCCATTTTACAATCATCGTGAGCTTTCTGTGAATCTTATGGGCACCTACTCCTTAGATAAAAGTCACAACCACACATATCAATGAGACTAGCCTCTTTCTACCGTGAGTTTTCTGGACGGCTGCTGTGGGACACCACACTTAAGATTACCAGAAGCCCTATTGTTTATTGGTAATGATCTATGAGGGACTTTTTTTTTTTTCCAGTTTGAATCACCACCTTAAATGTTTCCAAGTTCTTAATAAAGGGTTTTATATTGCTTCCCTCAGGTTCATCTTTATACCACATTTTCCTGATATTTTCCTAGATTTGATCCTTGCCTGGAGGCCACTTAAAATTTTAGTATCATTTCTGTCTGGAGAGCTTAGGAGTAAGACATTTTTATTTTCAAACCCAGCAAGTCCTGGCTCCTTTGTTCTCAATGGTTCTTTCTTTAACATGTCTTCTCTCTTTTCATGTTTTATTATAAGCAACCCGAAGTCAGATGGCATGTCTGACATTCTTCCTGGAAATTTTCTTTGCTGCATCTTCCAATTCATACAGTACACTTCCTATTTTCCATTTTGTCACAGCAGACAGTGTTGCTACAATTTCCCTGGCTATATGTTATAGGCTGAATGGTTATGTCCCTCAAAGTTTATATATCGAAGCCCCAACCTCCGATGTGACCGCATTTGGAGACAGCGTTTGTGAGGAGGTGATAAAGGTAATGAGGTCATAAGAGTGGGGCCCTAATTTGTAGGGCTGGCTCTGTCTCTTTGCCATGTGAGGACACAGTGAGAAGGTGGCCATCTGCGAGCCAGGAGGAGAGCTCTCACCAGGAACTGAATTGGCTGGCCCCTTGATCTTGGACTTCCAGCCTTCAGCATTGTGAGAAATAAATTTTCATTGTGTAAACCACCCAGTCTGTGGTATTTTGTCCCGGCAGCCTGAGCAGAGTAACGCGCTATCTAACAAAGATCCCTTTCCCTCCATCTTGCAACATGATCTTCCTTACTTTCCTTTAAGCCCTCGTAGGTGGCCTCCTTGAAAACCATCAGATTCCACAGTTTCTTCCATACGCTTCCAACTTCTGTCCTCAAAGCCTCAAAGCTGCTGTGTTTTTAGTTTTTTGTTACAGCCATACCTCCCCCACTCCTCCCCACTTACAGGTACCGAAATCTGTATTAGTTATCGGTTGATGCTAACATAGATCCAACACTCCAAAACTTATTGGCTAAAGCAATAATAGTCACTTGTCATCTCTCATAGTTTCAGTAGCAGCTTGGTTGAGTGGTTCCGGCTCAGGTTCTCATGTGAAGTTGCAGTCAGATGGTGTCTGGGCATCTTAAAGGCTTCTGGACTCCTGTGTATATAAGTCCTAGGCAAAGAAGACTTAAACAGCTGGTGGGGGGGGGGGGAATGGGACAGCCAAGTCTCCTTGGGCATCTTTCTCTGTGTGGTCTCTCCTCATGATTTCTCCAGCATGGCACCGTCAGGGCAGCCAGACTTTTACATGGTGGCAATAAGTGCTCCCAAGACATGTGTTCCAAGAGAGAGCCAGGTGGAAGCTGATTGCTTTTTATGACCTAGTCTCTGAAGTCACATGGCATCATTTCCGCTGTGCTCCGCTGGGGAGAGTAGCCCTGAGTGCAGACCAGATTCAGTGGGACAGACATAGATCCCACCTCTTGGTGGGAGGAATGAAACTCACTTTGTAGCAAGAACATGTGGGATGAAACTCACTTTGTAGCAAGAACATGTGGGATGGATGGATGGATGGATAGACAGATAGATAATAGTCATTTTTGGAAAATACAATCTAACATAATATAATCCGTACACAGGGGGTCTTTTATGAATGCTTGTTGTTCATTTAGTCGTTTTTTTGATCTTGTGGCTACATCCTCCTCCTCCACCTCATAACGAGAATAGTAAAAGTAGTAACGGTAATAACAAATACAATGACCATTTATGAAGCACTTACTTCTCTGTGAAGCACCTCTTTCAAAATTTCCTTTTTGATTGAAGCATAATATTTATGCAGTAAAGTTTACAAAGCTTGAGTGTATAGCTCAGTGAATATTTATACATGTTTACAGACATGCACGCAAACCTGGAACCAGGTATGGAAGATTTCCAACACACCACAAGCCTCCCTTACATCTTCCACAGTCAATGCCCCTGCTGCCCCCAGGTAAACACTCTTCTGATTCTTGTCACCATGGATTAGTGCTAGAGTCCAGCTCCAGCAGGTCCAGGGGTTCCCGAAGGATGAACGGCATCGGCGAAAGTAACAAATGGACCCAGACAACAGCAGTGTGGTAGACTGGCTGCTTTATTGTGGCAAGCATGGCATTATATTTGTTAGCAAATTCCTTATAGCGTGCATCATCTATGTTTTCTGGCTTTACCTAATTCTAAAAATGTTCCTTTGTGTAATCACCCATTAAGGAACAACATAGTTATTTTCTTGTAGCGTTCCCTCCTGCCCTTTCAAGGTCATCTAGCTCTCATCACTTCAAGTGGAACGTTTCCAGGGACATGACTTCTTAATTGTTCCTTTGAACCATTTGCGGTACAAGGAACAAAAGTATTCACTTTGGTCTGGGGTGCTGGGAGGGAGCCAAGAGGGCCCTGGGAACCCACGCCTTATGCGCTCCCAGAGAGACAACGTATACCTACGAACTAATGAACTATTCTGTACCTTAACCCACCAGGCCTAGATGTGCTCTGGAATGCCTCCTGGGGGCCAAGTGGGCCTAGGGTTTGGAGTAACTTGTATCCATAGATACATTCCTTTGTTGCTGAGTGGGGATTTTGAACCCATTTGTCCCCCTCCTTGGCTGGGAAAATATATGGGGCTATGCTTCCTTTAGGTAGAGGAGTCTTTATAGGGAGTGGCAAGGGCTGGATGTAGGGCCGCATAATTTCCCTGAGGAATCTTCTTTCTTTCCCCAATGGTTCTTTTCCTGGGGGTGGGGGGGTCTGTCATGGGCAATTCCCCAACCGACAAATCCCCAAGTACTTTCATTGGTAGGGGAGCTGCCCTGACCAACGCTAAGGCCACATTACATAAAAGCAGGAGTACAAGAAGCTTCACTGTCAGCGGGCCACCATGCAGTCCCGATGCGTCCACCGCCTGGGCCCTGTCATCAGGCTGGTTGGATAGCTTGGCTTCCATCAGATTAGTTTAACCTATTCTTGAACTTCACATAAATCCTAGTGCATGGACTCTTTTTTTTTTTTTTTTTTTTTTTGTCTAGCTTTTCTACAATGTGAAGCCCTCCATACACATCATTCACTTAATTCTCAGAACAATCTTAGGAGGTATTCAAGAATTCACATGCTGGTCATATGCTGGCCATGTGTGCTTTGTTTAGCATGCACTATCTTTTTAATATATTTTGAGTTTGACTACTTTTTAGCATTGGAAGTTTAATGTGAGCACGTGTTATTTTATACCCAGGACAAGTCATTTATTTTCCTTTCCTGGTACCTATAGGCATTGCGTTTGCAAACTCCAAGAAGAGCATTACTGTCTCCAGCTGCTGAGAAGCTAGTGGTTCCCCAAGGGGTTAAAAAACGTGTGTAAAATCTCATACCAAGTTGATGGCAGTAGTGGATTTGAAGTCAGGCCTGTCTTCCTCCAGCATTCCCATGCTAGGATCAGGGAAGACAAGTTTGTCCCCAAATGCTATTGATTCTGATTCTGAAATGCCCTTGTCTGCAGTCTCACCATCTCTGCCTTAGCCCGTGGGCAGGGCTGGGCCATTGCGACCAGCCTCAGCCCAACCCCTGCCCTCTCTGATGCTCACCAAAAGGGTCTCCAAACTCATCCAGTCCTTTCAGTCCCAAGCACATCTGTGTTCCTTGCTTCCGCATCTTTGTCATGCTGGATCCTTCTGCCTGGAAGGATCACCCCTACTTGGTCATCCATCTGTCAAAGCTCAGCCAAAGATGCTACCTCCTCCTGGCTGCTTGCACCTCCCCTGGCCAATCAGATGCTGCTCCTCTTCTCAGTACACCAAAACTCAGTTTTTAAAATTGCAATGCAATTACCAAACGATGGGTCAGATTGACCTGGAGTAATTTTTAGAAACGTGATAAAAATATCAGTCCTATAAAAGGTTAAAAAGGAACCCAACTTCATTTATTTGATCTCTGCTAAACACATCACTAACTTTTTATTGATTCTTAAGAAAGGGAGATGAGAGGAGTCTGAGCTTACCCCCACTGGGTGCCAAATGAACTAGCGGTTGGAAGTTTATTACTTCCAGATATCCCACTTGCTTTCCAGATACCCCATTGGGTTTCAATTCCATTGCAGCAACACTTGCTGAGCAGCCCTGGGCTCGACCATACAGGCTGGGTGTCAGGGAGGGATGAAAAGGGAGGCTGCATACCTGGCTGGAATGAGTCAGGGGCCTGGCTGAGGGCTGCCCATGGAGACGACGGCAGGGTGAAGTGCATCTGGGTATATCACTAGAGTTCAGGGTCTCTGATCCAGCCCTATCGCTTCTCTTTGTGAGACCTTGGGCCAGTTATTAACTTCTTGGGGCTTTAGCTTCCTTACCTGAAAAATGCATATTTCATGTAACTTTATGAGTTTCTGGACCCGGGGCAAATATTCTCGTCCTTAATGGGATTTT